ACCAGCTGGCAATTTTAGGTTTTTCACCTTAAGAAAAGATCTGGAGGACACATTTTGTGAACAAAGTGGTTTTATATACAGAGTATACAGAAGGACCCCAAACAGCAGGATATCATCTCATCCATAATCTGGCCCATTTAAAGGGACACTAGCGTTATATGACCTTACTTAACGGTTTGGTCATATACCTGAGGTGAGAGCACAACCAGTGGGGGAGTACGTCCATGCAAGTTTTCCGCACAAAATATTTTATTTTAGAAGCACGGGTTACTGTATTTTAAAGTGAACTATGCAAGTTTCAAGAAATTTCATATATGGACTTTTTTGTTAATTATATGGACACTGCTATTGGAAATTGACACTGGTTTATTATTAATTTTTACTCATTTTTCTCCATTTTTTCATAGTTCATATAATTGTTTGATTTTATTGTGATATACAACAAAAGTAATAGCAATTGAATGTATAATTTTAAGTGAAGCGCGGCACATTGTGGTATATATTGATTTAGCACACTAGCATGACTATGTGTTACGTGCAGGCAATTCATAATTAGCACTTAAACAGGTTTTTCACTTACATAGCAGCTCACAAATGTTCACTTTTTGATGTTAAAAAACAATATTCCACCCATAATTCCCATAAAGAAAAATAGATATTTGCACATTCTTATCCGAAACAAGTCAAATATGTTCCTAGGCATGTTTAACCATGATATTGCACCCATAATTCCCATACAGAAAAATAACTAGACTCATATTCTTAGGAGAAACAGGTCAAAGAAGGTCCTTAGCATGGATATCTGCAATCATCCACCCATAATCCCCACGTAGAAAAAAAAACTATTCTCATTTTCTTTTCAGAAACTGGTCAAATGTGTTCTTAGACAAGTTTAACCATGATATTCCACCCATAATCCCCATTTAGAAAAATATTGATGTCTATAATCTTTTTAGAAATAGGTCAAATATGGTTTTTGGCATGTGTATCCACAATAATACACCCATAATCCCCATGCAAAAAAATAGATATTTTCACATTCTTATCAGAAACAACAAGTTCCTAGGCATGTTTAACCATGATATTCCACCCATAATTCCCATGTAGAAAAAAGAAAAAAAAAACAAAACACTATACCCATATTCATTTCAGAAATAAATCATATATGGTTCTTGTTATGTGTAGCCAAAATAATACACGCCTAGTCCCATGTATAGTCCCATGTAGAAAAATAAATATATTTTTATCAGAAAGGGGACACATGTTCCTAAACATGTTAAAAAACAAATTCCACCCATAATCCCCATGTAGAAAAATTTTAATGCCCATAATCTTTTCAGAAATAGGTCAAATATGATTCTTGCCATGTGTAGCCACAATAATATACACATATTATATATTTATATCAGAAAGGGGTCCAATGTGTTCCTAGGCATGTTAAAAAACAACATTCCACCCATAAGCCCCTGGTAGAAAAATAGCTAGTCTCAAATTCTTATCTGGAACAAGTCAACTGTGTTCCTGGGCATGTTTACCCATGATATTCCACCCATAATCCCCATGTAGAAAAATATTTATGACCATAATATTTTCACAAATAGGTCAAAAATGGTTCTTGCCATGTGTAGGCACAATAATACACCCATAATCCCCATGTACAAAAATAACTATACCCCTTGTCACGGAGTGCCTGCTCCTCTTCTGCCCCCCCCCCCTGTGCCTTCCCTATGTCCCCTCACCCTCTTCTCATCCTGTCCCAGCCTTTGAAGTTAGGCTGCACAGGATGAGAAGTGGCACCTCTCCCCCGCCCCTGCCTTTTGTCACCTCCTCACATCCTGACGCAGCCTTTGAAGAAAGGCTGCGCAGGATGGGGGGAAAGTGACCCCCTGCCAGGGGTTCCGGCACGGTGCCGCCGACCTGTCTCCACGCGCCCCCCGGCGGGCGCAGCACGGGCACGAGGCTTCCAGCGCTCTGCAAAAGCGGAGACAAAGGTCGTGCTCCCGAAAGCGTGGCCAGAGTCAGGGTGTGTGCCTCGTTGCCCCGGCAACCTGATGCTGGGCTGGCCATTGCTGGGGCAACTGGGAAGTGTCCTGCGCCGGTTTAAGAAGGCCGGCACGGGACCCAGGTGGGTGTGTGCTCGTTCCCCGCTCGGGACAGGGTGCTGTGCGGGATCGGAGCTGAGGTCAGACCCCACAGCCAAGACCCTGCGAGCCTGCTGTGTCCCTGGCAAGCTGGCCGCCCTGTTGGTCACCTGCTCTTAAGAGAAGCGCTGTGTGGGGTCTGAGCTGAGGCCAGACCCCACAGCCAGGACCCCCACTGAGTCCCTGTAGGCTTGTTGGTCGTCCCTGGAAAGCTGACCGCTGTGAGGGTCCCTGTCCGCTACTGTCCCTGGAAAGCTGACCGCTGTGAGGGTCCTGTCTGCTGATCGCTGTTGTCCCTGGAAAGCAGACCGCTGTGAGGGTCCTGTCTACTGACTGCTGCTGTCCTTGAAACCGTGAGTGTTCCTGCACATTGTCTGCTGGTTGCCCCTGGAAATTATCTGCCATGAGTGCCCCTACAAGCCGCATGCAGCAGAGTGTGGAACTGTCCCTATTGTGCGCCCTATTGCCCTTGCGCGGACGGCCTTAGTGTGTGCCCATATCACCCCTGCCTGGACTGTCTGTGGACTCCCCACCCAACCTTACTTTTCCCTGCCTGGACTGTCCGTGAGCCTGCTGTTGTCCCTAGAGAGCTGTGTGAGGGCTGTGCTGAGGTCAGACCCCACAGCCAAGATCCCGCTGAGTTCCCGTGAGCTGCTGTTGTCCCTAGAGAGCTGTGTGAGGGCTGTGCTGAGGTCAGACCCCACAGCCAAGACCCCACTGAGTCCCCGTGAGCTTGCTGTTGTCCCTAGAGAGCTGTGTGAGGGCTGTGCTGAGGTCAGACCCCACAGCCAAGATCCCGCTGAGTTCACGTGAGCCCCCTAGTGAGTCTGCTAGGGCTGTGTGAGTGTCCCAGAAGCCGCCTGCTGCTGAGTCCACGTGAGCTTGTGTTGTCCCTAGAAGCTGTGTGAGGGCTGCTGAGTCAGTCCCCAGAAGCCGCTCCGCTGCTGTCCCCTGAGCCTGCTACCGTGAGTGTCTGCAAGCCGCTTGCCATGAGTGTCCCTAGAAGCCGCCTGCTGCTGAGTGTCCGCAAGCCCACTTACTGTGAGTGTCCCTAGAAGCTGCCTGCTGCTGAGTGTCCGCAAGCCGCTTACCGTGAGTGTCCCCAGAAGCCGCATATTACGGAGTGCCCTGGGGACTGCCCCTATTGTATGCCCAGATTACCCTTGCCTAAACTGTCCTTATTGTGTGCTCGGATTACCCTTACCTGAACTGCCCCATTGCGTGCCCAGATTATGCTACCTGGACTGCCCCCGAGTGCTTGGGCCATTGCTACCCGAAGCGCCCTATCGTGGGCCGGATTACAATTATTTTGGGCTCCTCTCCTCTCTTCCCCTTTTTGGGGACCTGGACGCTACCTTCCTGCCCTGATTGAGTGCCTTCCATAGTTCAATAAAGCTTTGTGTGTTTACCATCTTCTTTGTGTGTTCTGTCCTGCCTACGCTTCCATCACACCCATATTCTTATGAGATACAGATCAAATATGATCCTTGGCATTCTTCACAATATAACACACCCATTATCCCTAAGAGGAAAAAATAAGTATTCTCATGTTCTTATCAGAAAGGGGTCAAATGTGTTCCTAGGCATGTTTAACTGTGATATTCCACACATAATCCCCATGTAGACAAACAAAATATACCCATAATCTTTTCAGAAATAGGTCAAATATGGTCCTTTGCGTGTGTATCACAATAATCCACAGGTAGAAAAATAACTATGCTCATATTCTTATCAGAAAACATGTCAAACATGGTCCTTTGCATTTGTATCCACAATAATCCACCCATAATCCCCAGGTAGAAAAATAACTATTCTCATATTCTTATCAGATACAAATCAAATGTGTTTCTAGGCATGTTTAACCATGATATTCCACTCATAATCCCCATGTAGAAAAATAACTATACCCATATTATTTTCAGAAATAGATCAAATATGATCGTTATGCACCCATAATGCCCATGTAGCAAAATAATTATATGTATTTGCTTAAACAGGTTAAGTGCAAGCATGGTATTCCCCCCAACATCCCCAACTATAAAGGTAATTTTACACATTTTTATCTAAAAAGGTGAAATGTATTTTGGATGGGATGTGTAACCATTATATTCCATCCATAATACCCCATGCAGATCAATAATAACCACATTGTTATCAGAAATGCAACAATTGCTTCCTTGGCGTTCATAATTTTTAATCTTCATTTTTTGAACATCATTTTCCAAGTTCCCAATAAAACAGTTCAATAATGTAGTGCTTTACACATACGTGTACTGTATGAAATCAGTAAATCTGTTCCTATTAATATATTGAGTAATGCTTCCATTTACTATGATGCCATTATACAGCTGCACATGTATCAGTAAGTGAAGAGTTAAACATTAGCCACTACTCCTTGCAACATAGTATCAAGCACTGCAAAAAAAGAAAAACATATTTTGAGCAACAACAAAATCAGTACCATTTATATGTCTCCAAATATCAAATATACTGACACCTAATATACAGTTATATATATATATACACACAGTTGTATATCCCAATATACAGTTTAGTACGTCCCCAGGAATGGCAGCCTGCCTCCATATTTCTTGGTACCATTATAAAGCCATCTCCATATACAAGGAGATACAATGGGGGCCAGGAATACAATGATTCTGCTCAATTCAGGTAAATCCTCTTTTATAACCTGAGCTCATGCTGGTAAACCTGAGGTACTATTGATAACATGACAAGCAGCTGATCTATGTGACCTCCGTACATAGAATGTGTCTGCAGACAGGGAACCATCATCTACCCCAGCGAGCTGCAATTCACACCATTTCTATTTCTAGAACCATATGTAAATACTATTCTCACATGTCTCTCCGTCGCTTCAGTCAGCTTCCACACTCCTCGTACTCTTTGACCCCATACAAGCCGACATGCCACTTCCAACCTGAGCGCCGCCATCTTCTTTCACACGTCATTAACAAGCGCCATAGAGGCAGTGTACAAGCGCATGCGCACTGAGGAGGAATGCAAACGGAGTATTGGGCATGCGTATAGAGGTGTAGGTGTAATGCTCTGTGTGTGCTGTTATAAAAGAATACCATATACCGCAGGGATGCGATCCTGAAGTCACAAGAGCTGCTGCGCTCAATGGATGGTTTATTCATGCCTTACTTTTACAATAATTCCACTAGGTGTATGGAACACCAATCACTTCTCATCTAATAGTTACCGTGACAATATGAAAAGTCATCTGTAATATTTTTTTTAAATCTCCAGCTTTCATTAACCACTTCAACTCCAGGTACTTTCACCCCCTTCCTGCCCAGGTCAATTTTCATCTTTCAGCACTGTCGCACTTTCAATGACTACTGCACGGTCATGCAACACTGTACCCATATTAATGTATCCTTTTTCTTTTAAGAAAGAACTTCTGTGATATTTAATCACCACTGTTTTTTTTTATTTTTGCTAAATGAAAAAAAAAGAAAATCTTGAAAAAAAAAATGTCTTCTGTTGTAAAATTTTGCAAATAAGTAATTTTCCTTCTTCACTGATGTGAGCTTATGAGGCTGCACTGATGGGCACTGGTAAGCTGTACTGATGGGTACTGATAGGCAGCACTGATGGGCGCTGATAGGCTGCACTCATGGGGACTGGTGAGGCAGCACTGAGGAGGTGACACTGATGGGCATTGATAAGCTGCACTGATGGGCAGTGATGAGGCTCCACTGATTGGCCTACACTGATCATCAGTGCACTGATGATCAGTGTAAACCATGTGTTGACAGCCTTGCCGGTCATCGGCTCTCCTTTCCTGACACAGACACAGTGTGGGAGGAAAGGACTGCCAATAATTGCCAAGTCTGTTTACATGTGATCAGCTGTGATAGGCAAGCAAACTGCAAAAAAAATTCCAATCACCCGCAGTAGTACAGTGTCACTATGGTAATACTGCAGTGCTCTGCTCTGGTGAGAGTATATAAATAAAAAATTGTAAAATATATATATATTTTTACACACTATCACCAGATCAACTGCATTGTTACTATGGTGAAATGTACTGCTGTGGTGATCGTGGCTAGCTGCTCTGATATCGTTGTATGTCAATGACACCAGCTATTACGCCTGATCACAACCACAGCAGTACAGTGTCACTGGACCAGTGCTGCCAGTCAGTATCCATAATCATCGCCACACCAGAAAGTGCCCCTGATCACCGCCACTCAGAATGTCATTGATCACTGCCACACCAGTCATATTGTCCCTAATCACCGTCACACCAGCCATATTGTCCCTGATCACAGCCACGCCAGCCATATTGTCCCTGGTCACAGCCACGCCAGCCATATTGTCCCTGATCACAGCCACGCCAGCCATATTGTCTCTGGTCACAGGCACGCAAGCCACATTGTCCCTGGTCACAGCCACACCAGTTACAGTGTCCCTGATCCCCATACCAGTCACCATGTCTCTGATCGCTGCCACACCAATCACAGTGGGGCTCATTTACTAAAGCTGGAGAGTGCAAAATCAGGATGACTGCATAGAAACCAATCAGTTTCCAGCTTTTATTGCCAAAGCTTAATTGAACAAGCTGAGGATAGAAGCTGATTGGTTTCTGATTGGTGAGCCTGATTTTGCACTCTCCAGCTGTAGTAAATAAACCCCGCTGTCTTTGATCACCGCTTACACCAGTTACAGTGTCCCTGATCACCCTGATGAATGTGATATGCTGTTTAATTTTTTTCTGCAAAGCAAAGTCCATGTAGTGCAAAATGACAGGTGTGGCAGGCGCAGCACCCTTTGGTGCCTAGTGCGCTGTGGCATTAGAAAAATTATGCAATTGCTGTTTCTTTGTTTGATTGGACTGACTTTACTCTGTAATTCCTCCAATGCCGCTCTATGGATGAAGTAGGTTTAAAGAGCACACCGAATACTTTAGTTAACTTCTTTAATAACTTCAATCTTCTTCATATAAACTGCTTACAATGGCTTGTTTCTTTCATATTACAATGGTTTAATTTGTATTACATTGGGTTGATTGGATAGCTTATCTCGATAGATTCAATAGATTTGATAAATTCGTTCTGTATATTTCGATAGATTGATAAATTCACTTGGATTTATAAATTCGTTAGATTACTCTACAGTGACTTGATTCGTAAGTTCGGTGGAACTACAAGTAAACACATACAACAGTTTTTAGACACAGATCTACCTGCACTGTTAAACAATAGAGGAACACACAAGTGCATTAAATACCTATTTGGCCTTCTCTACTTCCATGGAGCTTTTCTGATTGGAACCTTGTCTTTTTCCTCTTCTGTCTGGTGAGCATGTGTCTCTAGAAAATCCTAGCAGGGAGTTTTACACAGGCACAAATGTGAAACTGGCTGGGATTGGTTAAGGCTCTGTTCAGTGTGAGGCTGTCTGTGATTGGCTCACCTTATACTAACTCTTAAAGGCATATTTTCCTTTTCTGCTTCTGCTAACACAATGAATATATAAATGTCATATAACAATCAAAGACATAAATCACAGCAATGATTCTGCTTTTGGCTTTAACATATGCACATATATACTGTGCTGAGGTTATTGGCAGGTTTGGTATACACATATATGTGAACCATATTAACAACCTAGGACTGGTCTTAGCTGGCCAGCTACAACAGGTTCAGATTAACACCCCCACCTCTCCCCAACAGCACATTTTGTCTTCCTTCACAGTGCTGTGGCTTTTCCCAATGTCATAGTGCTGTACTTCTCACTGACATCATTCAATCCGTGCCCCTCGGAAGAGAATACTCAAGGAATGTTGGGAAATGGCAATGAAATGTTGATGATCAAAATGAAATATTTAGATCAGTTTACTAATGTTCAGGAGTCAGGCCCGGACTGGGACACAAAAAAGGCCTGGGCATTTTGTACTGAGCAGCCCTAGACCCGGGGACCCTTTCCTCAGACCCCAGTGGTGGAACACCAGGACCCGGTGACAAGAGTGACCTTTGTGACCCTGATAGTTCCGCCACTAGTGTCAGTAGGTTTTTTAATTTTTGTTTAATTTTTTACAATTTTGTTTAATTTTTTTTTACATTTTATGTAGAATAGAAAGAAGAAGAAAAGAAAGAAGGAAAGAGAGAAGGAAAGAAAGAGAGAGAGAGAAAAAAAGAAAGAAAGAAGAAGCGAAAGAGAGGAGAGAAAGAAAGGAGGGAAAGAAAGAGGGAAAGAAGGAAGGAAAGAAAGAAGGAAGGAGGAAAGAAGGAGAAAGGAAGGAGGGAGAGAAGAGGAGGGAGAGAAAGAAGGTGTCAGGAAAGGGCTCACCACTGGTGGTGCTGTGGCTCACTTGCTCTGTGGGCTGCAGTACCAGCTCCTACCAGAGAGTGCCGTTCAGCAGCCAGGATCTCACCTCCTGCAATCAAGCTATCACCTGAGGCTGATTGCAGGAGGTGTATTTAAACAGCAACCAGGCCTGCAATCAGTGCCTTGATGTTTTCCTTGTGCCCTTGTTACCTGCTACCTGCTACCTGCTCTGTGTTCCGGCTTTCCCTGCTTCCCATGGTTGATCTCCCGTGTATGAACCCGGCTGGCCTGACTACTCTTGTTGCTGTTTGTGTTTGTATTGGGTGTGGGGTTTGTATTGAGTTGTTGTTTGCACTGTGCGTTGTTACTGTGTCTCACAATAAATGGTATTTTCATTACTCCTGAAGCCTGGTGTTCCCTATGTTAGTCCACACGTCTCTGTGTTGCATGTACATGTCTGTGTTGCATGTACATGTCTGTGTGTGTGTGTGTACAGGTGTCTCTGTTTGTGTGTGTTTGTTGGTGGCGAGTAACTCTAAGGCCTGGCTGTGACGATTTTAACGTCGGACCCCAGACCTTCTCACCAAACTCGTGACCGAAGGACTAGCCAATCTAAAACCACGATGTCACATGCGTAACAATGCCACGCCCAGCTGCACCCTGCACAACGATTTTCCAGCTCACTGGACCACAAATCGATGTACTGGCAGCCTGAGCGCGATTGTTACTGGGTCAGGTTAATTACGCAATTAACCCTTCACACTGCCACCACCTCCTTTTTGTACAGAGAGGAAACTCGGCAATATCTGCAATAACACTAGGATGATTGGATTAATCGTCTGTATACCACTGTCGCCGCAGACAGGTTATACAGAGGGTTAAACACACATAGTAGCGCTCTTCAGCGGCAGGAATTCGTAAGTTGCATTAAAGAGCTATAGAAACAGTTCAACACTTTCAGCAAGAAAAGATTTATTACTAAAAGGTCAAAAGGGTGCAATAAAAAATATTTACAGAAAAAAGATGTAACCAATATATATATAAATATACAGAGAGCAATAACACAGCAAGAAGGTAACAGAAAGAAGTTTAGGTAGATAAGTACTTGCCAAAAAGCCTTGGGTTAAGCAGCTTCAAGTCTCATGAGCCAAAAAGGATTTCTGGTCTTTCCCTCAGTTTCCATGTTACAGGGAGACTCTGCTTCTCTCTCTCACACACACCAAGCTTAACAGCCCTTTTTCTAGCAAATCCCAGCAGGGTGTCTGGAGTAATAACCAATCATCTCTTTTTGGGGAGGGGGTGTTGGGAGGAGACCTAAGTACAACCAGAATCTCTCTTAGCTTATATTTTGGCTCATAACTTTTCCTAGGTACATTTGACATTCCACCCGTGGGCAGATTAATATGCAGACGCATCTGCGGAACGGGTAGATATGAAACATGCACTTGAATGGTTCAAGAGATATACTTTTCTGCTTTTCTAGGATGCCAGCTAAGGGGTGTCACATACCAGGAGAATGGCTTCAAACTGAGCCTTCTGAATATAGGCTCCATGTTTAAGTAGTTATGTCCTACCTGAAGATATCAACTTATATGAAAAGTGAGTTTTTAAAAGTAAGTCTGTTTTTATGGGACCTTGGAGGGTCTTTTGAAGTTCAGTGAGGGACTCGGCTTATACTTTTACAATGTTCCAGATTGCACAGTTTCTTAGACAGCGCGGCCCCAGCTCCCTTGGGGGGTTTTATAGCTCGGAGCTGCCTGCTATGCTTTGGCCGCCTGTGACCCTTCTCATCACTCAGGCCGTATTTGTCAAGGTGGATGAGCAGAGAGGGAGGGGGATGAGGAAAGATATATTTGTACAAGATGGACGATCCTTTGCCAAGATGGAGGTTGGAGCAAAATGGTTGAACCGCGTCCATCTCTGTGTTCACGATTGCTACACTGGCTAGTAGCTCAGGACTTGAAATTTAAAGCCCTGAGTCATACAGTATATACACACATATATATATATATATTATATATATATATATATATATATATATATATATATATATCAAATTACAATATCCTACAAGAGGGAGGGAAAGAAGGAAGGAGGGAACGAAGGGAGGAAGTAAATAGAGAAAGAAAGCAGGAGGGAAAGAAAGAGGGAAAGAAGGAGGAAAGAAGTAGGGAGGGAAAGAGAAAGAAAGAAGGAGGGAAAGAAAGAAGGAGGGAAAGAAGGAAGGAGGGAATGAAGGAAGGAGGGAAAGAAAAAGGGAAAGAAGGAGGGAACAAAGGAAACAGGGAAAGAAGGAGGAGAAGATTGAAGGAGGGAAAGAATGAAGGAGTGAAAGAGGGAAATAAGGAAGGAGGGAAAAAAGGAAAGCGGGAAAGAAGGAAGCAGGGAAAGAAGGAAGCAGGGAAAGAAGGAAGCAGGGAAAGAAGGAAGCAGGGAAAGAAAGAAAGAAAGAAAGAAAGAAAGAAAGAGAGGAGAGAAACGAGAGAGAGAGAGAGAGAGAGAGAGAGAGAGAGAGAGAAAGGAGAAAGGTAAGAAACAGGAGAAAGAAAGAAAGTAGAGAAAGAAAGAAGAAAGGGGGAGAGAAGACGCAAGACAGCCTGGGAGTGTGGTCAGGGCAGACACAGGAGGAGAGGGTAGAAGAAGGAGGAGGGGCAGAACCAGCTTTCTCTCTCCTCTCCTGTCTGTGGTGGGCGGGAAACTGTCAGCACTGGGGATGGAATATGCTGACAGATCCCCCGCAGCAGCTGCAGGGAGGGGGGAACCTGGCAGCAGCGCTGCAGGAGATGAGGGGGGTGCTGCCACGGGGAGAGCATACAGGAACCCAGGGCGTGCAGGAGATGGATAGGTTGGGCAGCCAGGTGGTACATAGAGGAACTGAGAAATGCATGGTCCGGTTCCTCTATGTGCCACCCAGCTGCCCCTCCTATCCAGGCGGCCTCGGCCCTCCAGGCAAATGCCTGCTGTGCCCTATGGCCAGTCCGGGCCTGTCAGGAGTGTATAAGAATTATTGACAATAGGTTTTCTTTTTTAAAGGATAAATTCACCTTTTGAACAAAAATAATAAATGCACAATTTTTTGCAGGTCCAAAGAAGCCTGGAAAGCATTGCAGCAGCGATAAGTAGATCACTGATGCCATGCAGGTCTCCTGCAGACCTGTCAGAATATCTGCTAGCTGTACAGGAAGCTTCAATGAACTACCACAGCGTTCCACAGTGCCATGGTAGTTCATTGAAAACTACAAGCTGACAGCCGCTAAGGTTTCCAGGACTTGTAGGCACTCATTCACAGAACTCTGTGAATGAATGACGCGGCAGTGTGGGTGGAGCCCTGCATGGCCACGCTGTTTTTAAATCTGACAGATAGTACGGGGAGAAGTCTCCCTGTACTATCTGTCAGAGGGAAGGGGTGGCTATGGGAACACGTTACATGTTCCACCCTAAAAACGGGTGGAACATGTAACATGTTCCAAAGGTGAACTTATTCTTTAATTGTTATTACAATTAAAATTGACAAACTCTTTATTACGTTATTGTTTGTTAATTGTTGGTGCCCTTATAGACCCTCACACACAAAATTACTTGTTTTGTCAGTCAGGGTGTATGGAGCTCCGCAGTTTCTAATGGTAGCCCTGCTCAACACCAAGCAACACCTGAAGTAGCTGGTTGATTTAGATATACAAGGACCTGTATGATACCAAGAAATGTATCCATAGGAAGTAAACTGGTGACTAAAACATATGCATGCTGGAAAGTTCATGGTCTGAATTGCACTAATAATCAGGTCTAGTCCACAGTTCAAGTAATCTACATTTAGTTAAATTACGTACACAATGACGAACGGAAAATGTATTTTATAGTTATTGTGAGTAGCAAAGTTGGAATTTGCCTGAGCTGGCTTGACAGTATCTATCCATGAGTTATTTCAGTAGAGCAGTTATGTAGTAAAGAACATGTCATTTTTATAAACTGTCTAAAATGCCCACAGCAACAAAATGCTGGTACAAAGCAGTACTAGTACATACTCGGCCTTTTGGCTAAGATCAAGTGTAGTATCTGTTCTTATCAGTGTCCAGTGGGGGTGCTACCGACCATTCTAGTTTACGGGGATGGTTGTTGTACAGTACCCTCACTGGTATGATGGGGGTCCGGAAGGCTAGTACCGGAGGGACAGAAACCAGGGAGCGCCATGATTCGTTCTGGGGCCTTGGGAGTAATTCCTCTGAGAAGACTGGAAAGACCCAGTACCTCCTGATCTGAGCATGCTACCTTGGTCTGGCCTGGGGCTGAGGAGGCAAAAAGTCCGCAAACTCAGTGCCCCCTGAGGAGACGCGCTCAGGGGTGTCACTAGTAACACTTGGGTGTGGGACCCCACGGTGTGAAAATGACACATGGTCACTGTTTTTACACTCTTTTTTGCACAGCGCCCTAAGGACCAGGCCTTTTGGCTAAGTCCAGGGCAATTTTTGCTACGGGCCTCAGGGCCTGGTCTGTGCACATTTCGGCACGGTACCATTTTTATTATTTTTTTACTTTACCTCTTACTTTATTTATTATGCACTCCACGTTTGTCACTTTTTCTTTGCCTTATGTGTGTGTTTTCACGGATGGAGGGTGTGGGTCCTCGGGCCTACCCTGAAGTCTAGGGGGAGGATGTTGGCCATACGGTTCCTTCCTCCCCTGATCCCTAGAGGACTCTTCTTCGGGAGAGTCCCCTTGCCTAGTACTGAATGTCCGGCTTCGGCTTGGCATAGGGAACGGTGGTCCACCCGGCCTTTTGGTCAGGAGGACCAAGTGGGAACCTAGTCCCCGTCAGGAGCTTCGTGCCCCGGGGGATCAGGGACAGCGGTCCAAGCCCCTTTAGGGGTAGGACACAGCACACCCCTAAGTGCACGTTTTTCGTGTGGTGTTTGCACTTACACTTTTTTTTTTGCGGACACTTTTTTTTTCGATATAGTTGCACGTTTGCGGACTTAAAAAACTAGTACATACTACATTCAGCTGTCAAATGAAAGGGCAACCCTTCCCTGCAGCATTAAGGGCTACCTTTTTCCCTCCTGCCTCATCCACCTTCCTATTGGTAAGTTAGGCTACCCATCATAGTGGTGGGCCAAAAGGGAGGTTTTGTTGTGAACAGGGCTTTTTTTCTCAGAGATTAGATGTAGATACTCCCCCCTTCTAAGTCACCCTTTGTCTTCATCCCTTCCCCACCTTGGAGCACCGTTCCTTGGTTTCACCCCCTACCCAACTCCCAGTACTGCCCCTTTTAGAGAATACAGAACCAAGTATAATTTTGTGATAAGTCATTTTTTTGGAATTTGTTAATAACAAGAAATGCAGTAAAATGGATCTCTTGCAGCCAGCAGCAATAAATCCCCCAGTAACAATAGATCCCCCCAAAACAACCCCCCAGCTACAACAGACCCCTTCGCAAAAAAAAACCGTGGCAACAATAGATCCAACCCAGCAGCCAGCAACAATAGACTCCTTCCTCAAAAGTAGATTCCTACCAGCAACAATTAACCCCCAAGAAATATAAGTGCCCCCAGCAACAATAAATCTCCTTCCAGCAACAATAGACCCACCTTTAGCCAGCAGCAATAGACTCTCTAGCACACCCCAGCACCCCTTGCCATTACGTACATTCAGTGCTGGAGGTGCGTTCCCCTGCGTTCCAGCTGAAAAAAGCCCTGGTTGTGAATGCATGAGCAGAAAGAGCAGCTCTCAATGGTATAGCAGAGTGTCAAACTTTAAAAATGGAAATATCTGCATTTTATTGCTAAGAGTCATTTTAAGATCATTTTGAGAGGTGAAAGGTTTAACCACTTGCCTACAGGGCACTTATACCCCCTTCCTGCCCAGGACAATTTCCAGCTTTCAGCACTGTCGCACTTTGAATGACAATTGCGCGGTCATGCAACACTGTACCCATATGAAATTTTTATAATTTTTTTTGTGACAGATAGAGCTTTCTTTTGGTGGTATTTAATCAACTCTGGGTTTTTTATTTTTTCTTAAACAAACCAAAAACCACTGAAAATGTTGAAAGAAAAAAAAAGTTTTTTCTTAGTTTTTGTTATAAAATTTTGTAAATAAGTGATTTTTCTCCTTCAATGATGTGCGCTAATGAGGCTGCAGTGATGGGCACTGATAGGCTGCACTGATGGACACTGATAGGTGGCACTGATGGACACTGATGAGGAGGCACTGGTAGGTGGCACTGATGGGCATTGACAGGCATCACCGATGGGCACTGAAAGGCAACACTCATATATGGCACTGATAGGCGGCACTGTTAGGTGGCACTGATTGGCAGCACTGATAGGTGGCACTGATTGGCATTGATAGGTGGCACTGACTGGCACTGATGGGTGACACTGAAAGGCTGCTCAGATGGGCACTGATATGTGGCATTGATGTGCACTGATAGGCATTGATGTGATGATGTGGCACTTGATGTGGCACTGATGGGCACTGGCATGTGGCACTGATGGGCACTGATGGACACTGACAGGTGGCACTGCTGGGGCTACACAGATCATCAGGGCACACTGATCATCAGTGCTCTGATGATCAGTGTACATGGCCCCTCCGCGGAATGCTGATTACCTGCTCTCCTCGCGAGCTGTCAGTGTGACAGCTTGTGAGGAGAGAAATGCCGATAACCGGCATTTCCCTGTTTACATGTGATCAGCTGTGATTGGACACAGCTGATCACATGACTGAGCCTACATCTTCAGCTCTTTCTGTGGATCGGTGATCCACTGTGTCCGAGGGACACTGGGCACCACCGATCGCCGTGCTGATCGCTCCCTGAGCCGCGCATGCGCGGTTAGAATGGGAGGACGTCATATGACGTCCTCCCAGAACGAGAGAACCACCTTGTGTCCATCATATTATTATATACGATGGTTGAAGAACCGATATTAGGGCATAGTTAAAACACAACATTTTTTTTTGCTGTCTCTGTCTGTTGGGGAGATTTTCCTCTACTCCCCGTCCAACAAACACAACAGGAATTGGGAATTCTGCTCTTATACTGATAGATCTTCCCTCATGTTTTCTGTTCCAGTGAACACTGTAATAAACGTATGTTCCATATTTTTTTGTCCCCATGACTTTGATATCCAAGACAAATATAAAAGGCGAATCACCCCAGCAGAGAAACAAACAACAATAAAACCTTACAAAAGTAAGTAAAACCTTACAGATGGAAGACATCTGTGTGACTTCATGCACAGATGTCTATGCAAGTCGCACCTGAACTTTCAAAAAGTAGTGCATGAACTACTATCAAAATTGATTGAACTGATTTGACCTCTTCCATTGCAGAAAACAGGGTGCGACTTTTCATGCGATTTGAAACTATCAAATTGCTTGACAATTCGCACTGGTTTGACCGTGGACTTAAAAAACTCTATCTAAAATAAAAACAAACAACAGAAACATTTTGGTTATTTGCTTTAATACACATAATACCAATATTTCACATTATATTTTTCTCACATATACAGTCAGGTCCATAAATATTGGAACATCGACACAATTCTAACATTTTTGGCTCTATACACCACCACAATGGATTTGAAATGAAACGAACAAGATGTGCTTTAACTGCAGACTGTCAGCTTTAATTTGAGGGTATTTGCATCCAAATCAGGTGAACGGTGTAGGAATTACAACAGTTTGCATATGTGCCTCTCACTTATTAAGGAACCAAAAGTAATGGGACAGAATAATAATCATAAATCAAACTTTCACTTTTTAATACTTGGTTGCAAATCCTTTGCAGTCAATTACAGCCTGAAGTCTGGAACGCATAGACATCACCAGACGCTGGGTTTCATCCCTGGTGATGCTCTGCCAGGCCTCTACTGCAACTGTCTTCAGTTCCTGCTTGTTCTTGGGGCATTTTCCCTTCAGTTTTGTCTTCAGCAAGTGAAATGCATGCTCAATCAGATTCAGGTCAGGTGACTGACTTGGCCATTGCATAACATTCCACTTCTTTCCCTTAAAAAACCCTTTGGATTGCTTTTGCAGTATGCTTTGGGTCATTGTCCATCTGCACTGTGAAGCGGCGTCCAATGAGTTCTGAAGCATTTGGCTGAATATGAGCAGATAATATTCCCGAAACACTTCACAATTCATCCGGCTGCTTCTGTCAGCAGTCACATCATCAATAAATACAAGAGAAGCAGTTCCATTGGCAGCCATACATGCCCACGCCATGACACTACCACCACCATGCTTCACTGATGAGGTGGTATGCTTAGGATCATGAGCAGTTTCCTTTCCTTCTCCATACTCTTCTCTTCCCATCACTCTGGTACAAGTTGATCTTGGTCTCATCTGTCCATAGGATGTTGTTCCAGAACTGTGAAGGCTTTTTTAGATGTCGTTTGGCAAACTCTAATCTGGCCTTCCTGTTTTTGAGGCTCACCAATGGTTTACATCTTGTGGTGAACCTTCTGTATTCACTCTGGTGAAGTCTTCTCTTGATTGTTGACTTTGACACACATACACCTACCTCCTGGAGAGTGTTCTTGATCTGGCCAACTGTTTTGAAGGGTGTTTTCTTCACCAGGGAAAGAATTCTTCGGTCATCCACCACAGTTGTTTTCCGTGGTCTTCCGGGTCTTTTGGTGTTGCTGAGCTCACCGATGCGTTCCTTCTTTTTAAGAATGTTCCAAACAGTTGTTTTGGCCACGCCTAATGTTTTTGCTATCTCTCTGATGGGTTTGTTTTGTTTTTTCAGCCTAATGATGGCTTGCTTCACTGATAGTGACAGCTCTTTGGATCTCATCTTGAGAGTTGACAGCAACAGATTCCAAATGCAAATAGCACACTTGAAATTAACTCTGGACCTTTTATCTGCTCATTGTAATTGGGATAATGAGGGAATAACACACACCTGGCCATGGAACAGCTGAGAAGCCAATTGTCCCATTACTTTTGGTCCCTTAACAAGTGGGAGGCACATATGCAAAACTGTTGTAATTCCTACACCGTTCACCTGATTTGGATGTAAATACCCTCAAATTAAAGCTGACAGTCTGCAGTTAAAGCACATCTTGTTCGTTTCATTTCAAATCCATTGTGGTGGTGTATAGAGCCAAAAATGTTAGAATTGTGTCAATGTCCCAATATTTATGGACCTGACTGTACATGCAGCCCAAAATTAAAGCGAGGGGGGTATTGCTTCTGTCATACCATGCAATATAAGATGTCATTGAGCTTAATCATTCCTTATCTTTTGTAATTGTTCCTGACGTAGGCAGGCCATACATTACATATTTTTTTTTTTGTTCAACAAGCATGTTGAAAGAAAAAAAAAGTGCCAATTACATCATCCACACATTCAAGGTGGATGGGGGAATCACTCCCACTGAGCTGCTATGTTCCCCTGGACTTACAGTCCTGGACTTTGAAGATTTATTCCCAGAAGTGTCTCTGATATTTACTTTTGATTAATTGCAGAGCAAAAATCTTCTTTTTAATCATGCTTGTTTTACATCTCTTTTTTGTTGGAGATAACTACTATACGGATGCAAGGAAAATAAAGGCATAATAAAATGCAATGTGTAATATTTGTGCTTTCATTATATGTAATTAACTGAGAGTCACAGGTTCTGCTCCAGGGTAGCCCTGCAACTGACTTTGGCTACTATGCCTTTGGTATGAGCAGTGATGGAGCTGTTGAACAAATGGTGAATATGTCCTTCCAGACTAGGCAACTGCCAATGTAAACTAGGCAGAGATGAAAATGGGAATTCCCTTTCTTGGATATGTGGCAGACCACCTCCTTTTCTCACATGCGCAAGCAGCCTTTCTCATGATAAGTGAGGAACATTAGTATGGTTACTTCTTTCTGATCCTCCCAATTACCAAAATGATTGTGAAGGCACCTTGGATTTCATTTATAAAATACATCCTATTTTTTTCAATCATGTAACATTTTTGAAGATTTAGTATCAGATCCGTAATAGGGAACAGAGGCCAATGAAATGAGTGGGAATTTACTTCTTCAGCTACAAAACGCTCGGATGTGAAGAGGGGCCAGTGAAGTGAGTGGGAGTTTACTTGTTCAGCTACACAAAACGCTCGGCTACAAATGTGAAGAGAGGGGCCAGTGAAGTGAGTGGGATTTTACTTGTTCAGCTACAAAACGCTCAGATGTGAATGGGGTCTACAGGATACAGCAGATTTTCACTGGATGCCATTAAAAAATGTTATGAAGTTATCTTTGTCTTGATATGTATGTTGATGCCGCCTTGTGGGCCAAATATGAACTGCATCATCTGATAGAAAACGTTTACAATTCAGTAGCATCAGCGCTCGAGTTCTCCCAATGCCAACCCCCCAGCAACTGAACAAAACACCAACATCCCCTGGTGTATCAAGTTAAATAAAAAAAAGTCAACTGTCCATTTCCTGATGTACTGGACAGTTGGATTTTTATTACATATTATTCTCCACCTTCATAAAGCACATTTGTAAAAAAATGTGCCTACATATTCACAGCTTAAAAACATTTTTTTTTCGGGTTTTTTTTATAAATAATTACTGTGGAGTTGATATACTGACAAATGAAAAATCTGGTGCAGCTCTGCATGGTAGCCAATCAGCTTCCAGGTTTTCTTATCAAAGCTTAATTGGACAAGCCGAAGTTAGAAGCTAACTGGATACCCTGCACAGCTGCACCAGATTTTACACTCTCCAGTTTTAGTAAATCAACCCCCTTTCTCTATTCTAGTCCTCCAGAAATTTTCAGAAAGCAGCATGCCCTTGGAATATACACTATACTGCCAAAAGTATTGGGCCAGCCCTCCAAAACATTGGCTTCAGGTGTTTCAATCACGTCCATGACCACAGGTGTATAAAACCAAGCACCTAGGCATGCAGACTGCTTCTACAAACATTTGTGAAAGAATGGGTCACTTTCAGGAGCTCAGTGAATTCCAGCGTGGTACCATAATAGGTTGCCACCTGTGCAATAAGTCAATTCATGAAATTTCCTTGCTACTAAGTATTCCACGTTCATCCGTTAGTGGTATTATAACAATGTGGAAACAACTGGTAACAACAGCAACTCAGCCATGAAGTGGTAGGCCACATAAAATGACAGAGCAGGGTCAGCGCTGGATACAGTGGTGTAAAGCATGCCACCACTGGACTCTAGAGCTGTGGAGACGTGTTCTCTGGAGTGGTGAATCATGCTTCTCTGTCTGGCAATCTGATGGTTGTGTCTGGGTTTTTCACAGCCCGCACTACCTCTTGGCCACCACCGGAGGGAGATTCCACTCCAATCCAGCTGGTCGACCACACACTGGCAGATACAAATCTTATATACAATCTGGAGCACTAATTAGAGTTGAGGAGCAGCTTCGCAATCACACACCCTTCTAGAGTTCCTCCAGCTATCCTACAAGCCAGATCCCGGGTTAATCACTCTTCCACTGTCCACACACCCCCACACCAGACACTCCACGAACGGTAGCTTGCCACCACCCAACAGTTTATCCGCAGAACGGTCTGTTGGGACACCACACACAGATCTCTGTCTGGCAAATCTGTTACCTTTACAATCTGCACGCAATCTGCCAACATGCAGGGCAATTGCATACAGATTGGCAATGAGCTTGACTGAGCATATAAAGACACTAACATACAACACAATCTAATCTCTCCGGAGATATGAGCCCGAGCTTAAATACCCAGAAGTCACTTATTAATTTTAAGATTTAATATCCTGAAAGTGGGCAGTGCATAAAATATGTACAAAGTATAAAAAGTTACAGAAATTAGAAAAATACAAGAAG